TAAATATCCGCTGTTTTATTTGGCGCAATTTGTTGATATCATTACTTTTGTAGAGAAGATAGTTTTGTAGAGAAGATATTTTTGTAGAGACGATATTTTTGTACAGAAGATTTTTGTGGCGACACTATTTTTGTAAAGAAGATGCTTTTGCAGTAAAGATATTTTTGTAGAGATTATACTTTTGCAAAAAAGATAGAGTAACAAAATTAATTCGGTTGAATTGGAGCTTAGACTTGGTGCCTTTTTTTACCTTTTTTTAAAAAGTATGTATATTTACGTTGAAATTCCTGAATAACTTTTTAAATATCCAAGATAGAAAAAAATGTTAAACACTAAAGTTGTATCGTTTTTACTGCCGCATTTCATAGTAATATCAGTATGAATAGCTTTATCAAGGTTATCTAAAGATCACCTTGAAATTTTTATACGGAACTCTCCTTTTTCATTACATATTCTTGTAGCTTATTTCAATAGCTTTCCAAAACGCTATAATAAAGTATGTTTTCGTTAAGTACTTTTGGAGTTATGAGGATTGAAATTTACGGTACTTTGTATTAATTCCTGAATAACTTTTTAAATACCCGAGATAGAAAAAAATGTTAAACACTAAAGTTGCATTGTTTTCAGTGACGCATTTCATAGTAATATCAGTATGACCTTGAATAGCTTTATCAAGGTTATCTAAAGATCACCTTGAAATTTTTATATGGAACCCTCTTTTTTCATTAAACATTTTTGTAGCTTATTTCAACAGCTTTCCAAAATGCTATAATAAAGTATGTTTTCGTTAAGTACTTTTTGAGTTATTAGGTCTGAAATTTACGGTACTTTTAATTCCATGAATGGTGTGTGTGTGTGTGTGTGTGTGTGTGTGTGTGTGCGCGCGCGCTTGCGCGTGCGCGTGTGTGTGTGTGTGTGCGCGTGTGCGCATTTGAATGTCCGTGGTTGCTCTAACTTCCGTAAATTTTGAGATATCGGGCTTATTTTTTTTTAAATGTCGAGAATCACTAAAGGAAGGTTGGTATTGATTTTTGCGATGATTGGTAAATGGGTTTCTTTTTGAACAAATCTTGAATTTTTTGAGAAATGTCTGTGGTTGCTCTAACTTTTGCAAATTTTGAGATATCGGGCTATTTCTAATTCTATTATTCTTTCCAGTCTTTTCTACCCCTATTTCATATATAATTTATTAATATTCGGTTGATTAGTTCTTGAGTTATAGATTTTTGAAATTTCGCGGAATCCGTACATGAACACTTTTCATTATACTGAGTGTTTCAAAAGTGATGCTACAAAATGTAATGGTGAAATGTATACATTATAGCAAAAAGTCCTAATAAACATAGGTAGAGGCCCCTCTTTTTCATTATGCAGGGTGTTTCAGAAGTGATGGTACACAATGTAATGAAGAAATGTATACACTTGTAGAAGCAAAAAGTTTCAATACACATAGGTAGAGGCATACCTCTTGAATATGGCGATGACCGGTAAAAGGTTTTTTTAATTTTTATTTTTTTTAGAAATGTCTGTGGTTGCTCTAACTATCGCAAATTTTCTTTAATAATGTTTTCCACAAATTTCAAATGTCTATAACTCAAGAACTAATTAATCATATTTTTGTAGGACGTGATTAATTATGGAGCAGAGACTGGCCTCTGTCTCGGGAGAGACGTGGATATGTATTAACACAAAGCGCACGGATTAAATGGTCGGGATTGTCTTTATTCGCGGCGATCCGCTGATCCGGATATTACAATGTTACGGTCCCGATAAGTTTACCTCGCGTATGACTCCGAGAGTGTGTCTCTCTGCTTTGTCGCCGGCGCTCTTATTTTCCTCGGGGAAACGCCACTCGACCAATCGACGGTCTCCACGCACAGCGGTCGGTTTTCGCCGTCAACGATCAATTTGTCGATGTTTATTGATTATGGCTTTCGGAGGGCATCTCCGAAAGCAACGGTCTCCTCTACAGAATAACATTGGTGACGGGCGATATTTCGCCCGTTATAAGAGACTCGAAACTTTTCGCCTACAGCTCGGCCGTCCTGACCTTTTGGCCGACCCGGTCAAACACACAAGTCGACTATCGCTCGTCAAGTAAAATAAAATAAAAGGTTACATGCTCTTAATTAATGTATGTACGGACGCATTTGATCCGGCGCAAACACGCCGGTATACGGTCGCTGAGTCATTTGGAAGCCGTCTATGTCGGCGACGACGTATCGATCGTGGTCTAATACCTTTTTAACCGTATATGGGCCCTTGAATTTTGGTATTAGTTTTTTATTAATGCCGGCCGTCGTTTCTACATTTCGGATCTCGACATAGTCGCCGACTTTATATTCGCGTGCGGCCTTTCGCCTTAAATTATAACGCTTGGCGCTTTCGCGTTGCACCTCGTCAATTTTCGCTTGAGCCTTGTGCCGGAGCGACTCGAGATCGCGTCTCTCGTCTTGATCTTGCTCGAGTAATTCGCGCAGCGCATCGTTCGCTTCTCCTCGCTGTTCGAGCCCAAACAGCAAGCGGGCCGGGGTTTCCCCCGTCGCGCGACAAATAGTATTGTTGATCGAGAACTCTACCCGATCCAGAGCGCGATCCCACCTCGAGGGAGTCTCGCTCAGCTTGGCTAACATCGGACTTATTACGCGGTTACATCGCTCGACCTGCCCGTTGGCTCTCGGTGTACTCACAGCCGTGAGCACCTGCTCGATTGCCCTAGATTTGAGGAATTCTTTAAACGCGTCGGACGTAAAACAAGTTCCCCGGTCCGAAATCAAACGCCTCGGCCTACTGTACGAACGGAAGTACTCGCCCAGGTGCTTTGACGACTCCTCGGTCGTGGTAGACTTACACGGATAGAGTCTAACAAATTTGGTGAACGCGTCGATCACCACCAAGATGTGTCGATAGCCCTTCCCGGTTTTTTCTAACGGGCCCACGTGGTCGATGTGTATCGCGGCAAACGGCAGGCCTTCTTTCGGTATATTATGCAGATATCCCTCGGCCCTCCCGCTCGGCGGAGAGAATTCTACGCATTTCAGGCAGTTGAGGATGTATTCCCCCACCTTCTCGCGCATTCGGGGGAACCAGTATATCTTGGAGATATTCGCAACGACTTTATCGACTCCCACGTGGCCGAGGTCGTCGTGACACGTCCGGATCACGTTCGCTACCATCGAATGCGGAACATAAAAGAGCAACTTCTTATTCCTGTCTTTACGGTATACGAGCCCATCGCGCAGTTCGAAATATTTAATGTCGCCTTTCTCGAGCTGACTTCGGATTTTCGAGATTTCGTTATCGCGATCCTGACAAACGGACAATGTTTTTTCTAACGTGCTTCCCTCAAGCACCAATACAGAGTGACATCGACTCAGTGCGTCGACGTGACCCATACGCTTTCCCGGTCTGTGTATAATTTCGTAGTCGTAGTTCTGTAAAAAGAGAGCCCACCGCGAGATTCGGGGATTCACGTCCTTTTTATTTAACGTCAGGCGAAAGCTGTCACAGTCGGTGATGATTTTAAATTTACGGCCCGCGAGGTAAACGTGGAATCTTTTCAACGCGTACACGGCCGCGAGGCACTCCAGCTCGAAGCTGTGATACCTCGACTCCGCCGGCGTCGTCCGCTGGCTCCAGAACGAAACCGGGCGCCAGGTGTTATCGCCTTGTTTTTGGAGTAATATGGCCCCGAAGCCGCTCGCACTCGCGTCACAGTGCAGCTCCGTTTCCGCCAGCGGCGAGTAGACGGCAAGCACGGGCTTGCTCGCCAAATGCCGCTTGAGCGCCTCGAAAGCGGAATTTTCCCCGGACTCGAACTTAAAATTGGCGCTCGCTTTCATTACGTCATAAAGGGGCTTGGCCACCATAGAAAACCCGGGGATAAAACGGCGAAAGTAACTCGCCAGACCGATGAAACGCTGAAGGTCCTTCGAATTACACGGAATCGGGTAATTAAGAACGGATTCGATATTCTCGTCGCTCGGTCGTATGCCATGCCTATTGACGCAATACCCCAGATATTTTATTTCGGACTGGGCAAAGTGGCACTTGTCGAGCCGGAACTGTAAACGGTGCCTGCCCGCTATCTCAAACACGCGGGTCAGAATATCAATATGTTCGTCCATATCTTCCGTCGCGACTAACAGATCGTCAAGGTAAATCAAAAGTTTATTGTCTCGAGTCAACGGAGCGAAAACGCTGTGTATGTAGCGCTGGAAAACACGCGGCGCGTTCGTCAAGCCAAATGGCATACGCAAGTACTCAAATTGCCCCAGCGGCGTCACGAAAGAGGTGTACTTAGTGGACGCCTCATGCATCCTGACATGATGAAACCCGTCTTTCAAGTCTAATACGGTGAAATATTTCTTGCCGCGCAAGCGATCGATATTATCATCGATAAGTTCCGTAGGGAAGTTATCGCGTATAGTGATCTTATTTAACTCGCGATAATCTACGCACAGTCGATGACCGCCGTCCTTCTTTCTCGTTAGAACGATCGGGCTCGCGTATGGTGAGCAACTTTCCTTGATGATCGCTCTCTTTAGCAAATCGTCAAGGATCCCCCGTAAGGCTTCTTTATCCGCAAACGACAATCGGCGTGGACGGAAGCTAATCGGCTGTTCGTGTTTCAATGCTAGAGCCATGGTAAAATCGGGCGCGTGATTTTCCCCCCGCAAGTTCTCTAAATAACTCGACTCGTAAGCTTTCCGAATGCGCGAGAGCATGTCCCCGCCGATCGCCGGATTGATCTGTAATTCCTCGCCTGGACGGGCGAAACCCTCGTATTCCAAATGCATTAGTCGATCTATCGCGCGCGCCTCTTCGACGCCCGTTATTCGAAAGTTCCTCCCGAGAGTGACGCACAAGTGCGGGCAATTCAGGAAGTCCCTCCCCAAAAGAACGCTATACGCCATCGTGTCGCTTGGCACCGCGTAAAATCTCATCCCTATTCGGACGCCGCTGACTTCCAGAGTACCGTCCACCACTCCGTCAACCCTCAGCGGAGAGCCGTTAAGTCCGCAGAATCGACTCACCCGCTCTTCCCGCGACTCGCCCGGAATCACGTCGCTCCGCACGAGGCTAATGGGCGACCCCGAGTCGATGATCGCCTCGACCGCGTAATCGCGCGCTCCGCCGGGCCCCGTGGTCGCAATCTTTACACGGACCATGTAAGGTGTCGGCGGCTCGACCGTTCGCTCATAAATCGCCGAAATCGCCCGCGCGGACTCCCCAGGCGCCCCCGACGGCGAAGGCCGACCACGCTTTGAGCATTCCCTCGCCAGATGCTCCGCCGACCCGCACACGTAACAAGTTCTCTTTTCGCGCCCTCGCGTACATCGCGCCGCGATGTGCCCCGTCTCGCGGCACCTGTAGCACACCTGCTCCTTCCCCGTCGGCGGCTCCCTGGGTCCGCCGCCACCAGCCGACTTCGCTCCCTCCTTTCGGCCCTTGGTATCGCTCGGCCGCCTCCGCTCCGGCTGGACCTTCTCGAAGGCCTTCAGCAATTCGGCTCCCGTTCGGTAGTTCATCAAGCGGGCCTGGTTCTGCAGTCGCTGGTCCGTCACTCCCTCAATGAGATAATCCAGGATCTCATCGTCGGCAATTGGGATGCGGTTGGCGAGAATCATTTTATCATGATAATAATCACAAAATGATTCGCCTCCCTCCCAGACTCGAGATTCAAACTCTCTCCTCAGAGCCAATTTTCCTGGACGCAGGTCGAACATTTGTCCCATCTCTCGGAGTAGCTCCACCGAATCCAGCGTCAGATACTCGGCCTTCGAATGAAACCAGGACAGCGCACGTCCCCTTAACCGCGAGCTGATTAATACCCGCGTTGAATTTTCGTCCAGCCGGTACGTTTGTTTCAGCAGCTCCAGCTGCTGCTTCCACCTCCAAAAATCGCTGTCGGCCCCGCTGAACTCGGGCAACAGCTCCCTCAAGCCCCGGACGCCGCCCGGCATCGCGCCGCCGCTCATCGCCGCGCTCGTCACTGCGCTCGCCGTCCCGCTCGCCGTCGCCGGGGAATTTCTCAGCATGTCCAGCTCCCGCCGGAGAAGTCTCTGCTCTCGCTCCCAGAGCTCCCTTTCTCGACGCAGGAACATCAATTCGCGCATTGCGTCATCGCGCTCCTCAGCTCCGAACGCCGCAATGCCATCGTCCCCTTCTCGCGCCAGGTCCCCGTTGTTCGCCACGCCACCGCGCTCCGTCGCCTCGCCATCGCGACTCGTCCCGCCGCCGCCAGCCCCTCCGTCGCTCCGACTCGCCCCGTCGTCGTTCTCTCCTAACGGGGGTGCGTCCCCCAGGTCCGACGGGTCCCCAGCGTCACGTGAAGCCGCCTCCCGCCGCGCAGCGAGATCCTCCCACACCCTCGGGTCGTCCTCCTCCAGTCTACGGATCATCTCTGCTTTCGTTCCGCTAGTAGTTAGTCCGCGCTCGCGAAGAGCCTTTTTTAGCTCGAGTACCGTGAATCGATTCCCCGCGCTCTGTTCCATGTTCACGGCGAAGTCGAACGTGCTCGTGCCTCCGCGAACTCTCCACTTCGTCCAATTCGCTCACTCGCGCACTCCGCGCCTCCGACACACCCCACTCGATAAGTCTTTTAAGGTCCTACCTTACTCGGTGAGGGCCCGGCGTCGCGTCTTGGCCTCCCCGATGTTACGATTCCGGCACACGGCCACCGAGCAGTTTTTCTTTCCTCTATGTGGGCGTGTGGGTCAGAATCCCACTTCTGATAACTGTAGGACGTGATTAATTATGGAGCAGAGACTGGCCTCTGTCTCGGGAGAGACGTGGATATGTATTAACACAAAGCGCACGGATTAAATGGTCGGGATTGTCTTTATTCGCGGCGATCCGCTGATCCGGATATTACAATGTTACGGTCCCGATAAGTTTACCTCGCGTATGACTCCGAGAGTGTGTCTCTCTGCTTTGTCGCCGGCGCTCTTATTTTCCTCGGGGAAACGCCACTCGACCAATCGACGGTCTCCACGCACAGCGGTCGGTTTTCGCCGTCAACGATCAATTTGTCGATGTTTATTGATTATGGCTTTCGGAGGGCATCTCCGAAAGCAACGGTCTCCTCTACAGAATAACATTGGTGACGGGCGATATTTCGCCCGTTATAAGAGACTCGAAACTTTTCGCCTACATTTTAATGAATTATATGTATATGAAATTTGGATTGAAAAAACTGAAGAACAATATAATATATAATTTAAAAAAAGTAAAGTAAAGTAAAGTGTGCAAATTAGAAATTTGCACATGGCTTCCTCATAGAGGAAGGTTTAAGAGCGTGTTACGACCCGCGTTTTTTATTTCTGCGTGGGGACGTCAGGAATCTTCTGACGAGAAGAGGAAAGGCAGAGAAGGGAGAAGAAATTAGAATTTTCAGTGTGCGCATGTGTGGGTGTATAAATGAGTGTGTGTGAGTGTGGTCTGTATGCTTGTTTTATTTACATGAGTAGGTACAGGGTGTATACAAAGGGGAAGAGGCCTATAACGAAGGCATGTTCCGCCCCCTTTTGGGGATGTCGACGCGAGGGCGGATAATTTTTATCCTCCGCTGGAGTGGTATGTTCGAGACCACCCGCGGACGAGCAGTCGGTGCCCGGGCTATCGCCGGCTCCTTTGACGCGAGCGAAGGTGCTGGGCCGGGGGTCGCGGCCAGAGGTGCCCGTGGTGGAGGGGTAATAGGGGGCCGCGGCCTCCACACTCGCTGAGGGCAGTGCTCGCCGGAGGTAGGCGGGGGTGGGCGGACAGGAGGTGCTTGGAGGTTCTCAATACGTGGGGGAGGAAACTTCTGAGGAGGCTGACGGTACGGGGGAGGAAGCTTCTGTGGAGGAGGAGGCTGAGGGTACGGGGGAGGAAGCTTCTGTGGAGGAGGAGGCTGAGGGTACGGGGGAGGAAGCTTCTGAGGCGGAGGAGGCTGAGGTTGCTGAGGAGGAGGTGGCGGGTGGTGTTTCTCCCGGGGTTCGGGTACAGGAGCGGTACGGGGGTACACCTCGAATACCCGCGGGTCAAACACCCGCACCTGGTGGTGTGCTCTGACCAGGCGCCTTAATTGGCGCTGCCGCCCCGAGCGGCGGGACCGGCCCATGATCGGGCTTCCTGCGGAAGGCACTCATGGTTAAGTTGTTAATCGCACAAATTAATTAGTGGGGAGGGGAGGTAACGGTGTCCTGCTCTGGCACACACGGAATTGCGTAGTGTTCCTCCTCCCGTTTGCTTTACCCGTGGGTGGAAAGCATTGGTTTCTGTGGGAGTACTCAGTAGCGTGCCATTAATCACTGGGATTCAGTTGCGTCGCTATCATCATCGTACTCCGTTGCAACGCTATATCCACTTTAATTACCTTATAGCAACCGCGAAAACACGGATACAAAATTAATAATAACTAAAGAAAGAAAGGAGGAAAGATGAAAAAGAAAACGAAATATTACTGGGGAACAAAATCGTCCCTGTCCGCTATTACGGACTTTATAAGAAAAGAAAAGAAAAGGAACTTGACAATTGGCTTAATATACCGGGCTGTCATGGCCCGAGTATGCACTTATTTGCTTTATTGGCTCAAAATTCGTTTCGAACAACCACAGTGCGCATCTGCAACAACATTATTTAGTTCGTTTGTTTCCCCGTGTGCCAGGTGCCCATTCCAGGTTTCCCTAACGGCGAGGGGACCCTGTTAAATTGCCGGTAGCAACGAGAGATGGAAAAATTGTCATGATTGTCTGGATGAGTCCCCCTTTTCTTTTGTGGGGTCTGACTCGGGGAACGGAGACGACGGCGAAAAAGAAACAGCAAAACAGAAGGCACGAGGCGTCAGGAAGGAGAAGGAGAGGCGAGGGTGTACGTGATTCAGGTAGGACCCGGGTGCTTAATGCCGGGCTGGTGAATCGGTTCCAACGAAGAACGCCCTGTGCAAGAGCGCGCATTCGAAGGTGGAGGAAGCTCAGAAGATCGCCCTGTGGAGAGCGCGCATCCAAGGTGGTAGACGGATTA